TTTATTATTAAAAAGAAAATATTGTATCTTAAAGGTATTTATAAAAAGTGGGAGAACCTATATGCTTTGACCCATGGATTTTTTTTTAAAATAGCTATATGCTTTGACCCATGTTTCGAGTTATTTAGAATCCTGGATTACTTAAAACTTTGAACCATAGGGAATGTTGTAGGAATGTCATCATGTTGGGCTTCCCTAACACATGTTGTGTTGGTTAGATAGCTTGGCTTGTATGAATTTACTATCAAGATGTCTAGTGTGGTTGAACCTTTGTGGTTCATGAAGGTTTTTGCATATTGTGAAACCAACGGGTATTGAATTACATATTGCATGAGACTTGATATACTACCTCATGATATATGCATAAGAATGTTGATAATGTATATGTTGTATGTGTAATAATTGAGTGGGAGCTGCTACAGTCCCACTTTTTTTTAGCAGCTTGGATATTTTGATATACAAGTGCAAGCTATCTCACAGATCTAGATGATGTAAAGTCTATATCTGGATATGTGTTCAAGCTTGGAGCGGGTGCAATTTCTTGAAAATCAAAGAAACAGGATGTGACGAAATTGTCTGCCTTCACAGGATGTGACAAAATTATCCACTATAAAGGCAGAGTACGTGGCGTGCTGTTTGGTGATCGAGGAGGCAGTATGGATTAAGAAATTTATTAATCGACTTAACTTTCACCTAGTGTGTTGTGAGGCAGTAAGAATTTTCTGCGACAGCACGGTGACGATATGTGTGTCAAAGGAGCCACGATTCTATAAGAACTCCAAGCATATAAAATCATGTTTTTATCACCGAGGAATGAGGTGAGATTAAGAAAGATCGAGATCCAAATAAATTAAATATTCCAATGGGAGCACCTGCTAGTATTTGACAAGTCAAATGAAACAACAGACTATAATGTTATTCACCCATGGAACTCAAATGTTTGGTGCTAGTTGTATGGCTATAAAAGGGATCAACTTATTTGAAGAACTCTTTTGAGCCCATGAATATACGACCCATGCGATGAGGGTACGTAATTGTCTTTTATGACAACAAGTCCATGATTCACGATGCGATGTGAAAGATGAGCTACAACCATTTTTGTGATGAGATCCGAGCAGCAAAGATAAAAATGTGTTGCCTCTATAAATCCTTTCATGAAAGGATGATGGCGAAAGCCATGATTAATATATTGAGAGAATAAGTAACAATGCTTGAGAGAGATTGTAATTGGGAGAGAGAGATGGAAATGAGAGAAAGTGAGAAAGAGAGAACATAAGGTCTTCAAAGTCCAAGTGGGAGATATTGGGTTTATGTAGCCTTTAAAGGCCTTATGAGTGCTTGTATAGTGGAACATGAACTCAGTGGGAGTGTTATCCCTCGTGGACCATACTAAGCAAACAATAATTTGCTGATACCAATCTGTGCTTAACGATCTAGGCCAATCGGTTGGAAAAAACCCATGTTACCTGGGCATGAAGAACAAGCCGATGAGGGTTTATGCGTTAGCCCTTGATGAGGTCGAAGAACATGCCCAGATGAGTGAGTCCAGGGATTGTGTGACCCTTGTATGTGATAGTGGCTTACTAAGACAGGGGCCTACTGAGACGGGCGCTAAAACCTCATCCAAGTTCCATCACACGGCATGCATATTAATAGATCGTTCGGAAAAGCCAGATATCCACCTTTGGGTGAAGCATATGCATGTGTGAGAAATACCTCTATGCGTCATAGAGTTATGGACGCATCAGGTCGTGGTGACCTTGACTCTTGTCTAGGGGAGGATCTGTAATCCACAGACTGGGATTGCGACCTCTTGATTCATCAACCTGACTTTGATGACCCGCTAATAAGCTCCTGTTTGGACTGTGGGTCATGGGAAACATTGGATCGGTTCGATAAAGCTAGTGTGTTATGTAATCTACAATTGAAGGTGGAGTACCCTGTTATTACAGATTGGATTCCTAAAACTATATGGATCATTTTCCTATCATATTAATTTAATTGTGTTCATTTTATTATTGAAATGATTTTAAGTTTATTATTTGAATTTTATGAATCTCTCAATATTTTATTTGTGATTTTTTTAGTTATAAAAATACAATTATTGTTCTTACAAAGTTATAAAAATTCAAATTTATATTTTAAATTGTTTTATTCAATTTTAAAAATAATATTATTATTTTTTATAATATTCCATGGGGGCCCATAGTGCACATGGGCCTACCATGTGGCATGTGGGTGGGGGCTCACATGTGCCACAAAAGGGTGACACTCCCCACCCTATTTGGATTCTCTTGTTTGCTTTTAAGATAAAGTTAATTTGATTTGTAGCATGTGGTCAAATCTTGGAAGGGATATATTGACCATGGCTTTATCTATTTTGTAGCAAGTTTGTTTTAAAGAGATATGGTCAATTTGAATTGATATGGATCTTTTCTTATTTATATTTGGTAGTATTTATCTACTTGATATTATTTGACATATCCTTATGGAATATGTGACATGGATCGTGCAATTTTATAGAATGCATGATATTTATTTTATTTAAATATATTGATGGGAAAATGGTTTAGAAAAGGGGGATAATGGTTCATACACCTTCCATAATGTTGATGGCCCATCTATCGAATGGATGGCTCGATCTTTCACCCCACAAGTCACCCTTGATCGACGGTCTATGTTCAATCTCACAAGAAGAGGTAAGCTAAGGAAAACACTAAAAAACCCTAATCTTATTCAAAGCTTATAAAATAAGATTATCTCTACCCAAAATCTCTACACCTTATCTCTTGTACCTAATTATCATCTTTCTCTCTCATATCCCAAAAAGGGGCACGCACCACTATCTCATGTTTGATCTCTCTCTCTCACATTGTGAAAGAACCTAAGGGTTTAGGTTATAAAGTTCTTCTCTCCTATATCTCAAATATGAATTTATGACTAAGGGTTTTAGGGTTTAGTAAAAAGAGAATTCATCTCTCTCAACTTAGGCTGCTAAGAGAATTTACCTGGGGTTTGAGTGTGTGATCAAAGGGGTTCACGTTCCATTGGTGTGGCTTGGCCGAAATTTGCTTTCCCGGTTCGAGATTGAAGCTAGACTGTTGATCCCGCGTCATCGGATGGTGGTGACTCGGTGTGGGGTGTAATAAGCCCGGTTGAAGTAATCTCCGGCACTCTTCTTTTGTATTTCTTACAATCTTATCTTTTATTCTCAAGCATAGTGCATAGTTGTTTCAATGTCATCAAGTTATTAAGATCTTGGTTTTATTGTTAGATTGATTTTATTTTAAAATTTATCTTATTATAATAAAGACCACCTGTAAGTGATCTTTAGCCAAAAGAAAGGGGTGGAAAAAAAAAGAAAAAAATGTATTCCCTGGTAAAAGATCACAAAGGTCTTTCTTTCCCTGCCCCTGTTGCTTCCTCTCATTTACGCTGCACCTCCTCCTTCCTCTTCTTCTTGAACTCTGCTGGCTGGTTGAGCGTCCGTGCTCCAATTCCATGTTCCGGAGAAAATCCTCTTGCGTAATTACCTGATTATCTTTTTGTGCCATTATTTCACAAATTTCTTGATAAATCTTGGCCCGATCCTGCTCTTTCTTTGCCCTTGCTACTTCAATTTCTTGATTCTTGGCCTGATCTTGCTCTTCTTGAGAGGGAGAGACAAGGACAACCTGTAAACGATCCTCATAAAAATTCGACCCATTGATCCTCCTCCTCTTCTGCACCGCATCAGCTCCGTCCTCCTCCTCGTCGACCTTCCGCTTAGGGAGGCCTCCCGCTTCTGCCATTTCCCTGAACCTCACCTCCACACTCGGCAAAATCCTCAAAAACTTCTTCACCAAATACTTTGGCCACTTGCAGTGCTTAAAGAAGGAATGCTTCAAAAACCAGAGGAATGCTTCAAAAACTAGAGAGAGGGAGACTGAGAGGGGATAGAGAGAGAGAGCTTGAAAAATGAGAGGGGCGGAAGATGGGAGAAAACATATAAAATATAGATAGGTGTGGGAGATTCTTGAACGGTTGGTTGTTGGGTGCGGTGGACATTACAGCTCGACACCGCTCGTTATTCATACTCTCTCTCTCTCTTTTGCGCACCTGCTTTGGTCGTTGGCATGAGACGGTTGGGGGCTTTTATCAAAATGGACAGCTTATGTTTATTTAGCTAAAATATACTTTTTAAGTTATGTTTTTAATTTTTTTTTTTTTGTGATTGTTCGATAAAAAGAGTCGATATTTTAAGCAAATGGTCCTAACATGGTCTCTAAAGATTGTTGCATTGTATTATTATACAACCGTTGCATGAAATCACTGCCCCTCAAATTATTAGAGTAATACATTAAAATGGAATGCATCACCATTATTTTTGGGTTGAAATAACTATATGAAATAACTATTATTATACAACCGTTGCATGAAATCACTGCCCCTCAAATTATTAGAGTAATACATTAAAATGGAATGCTTCACCGTTATTTTTGGGTTGAAATAAC